CCGGTCTCCTTTAGACTTGCACCTTCTGATCCTGGCTTGTTTCCTAACCCTCGACATTTCTTAGAAAGGTACCTCCTTCCCATAAGAGGAAGGTACCCATTGCAGGCACCTTTACCACCCTCGTCATCCTTGTCGGATGGATGAAGCAGAGAGAGTTGGCATCTTTCTGGCCTGCACAGCTCCTTGCACTCAGACCCTTTCCTTTAAAGCCTCTGTCATCCATTAGCACAGTATCCCGTGCTCCGTGGACCTTTAGTGTGTTACATTCTTTAATGATGTTGACACTATTTCCTCCTCTGAGTATGTGCGCTCCTTCTCTTTACAGCTGCTCTTATACTTTTTCTTGGGGAAGATAGATTATTTCATGCATTAGAGACCTCCTTTCATATACAAAGTAAAACCAGGAGCTTAGCCACTTTTAGCTTAAGTTCTGTAACTAATCAACCACAAAAGCTATTGATTTCACTGTTTAATGAGTCGGGTGTGGTAGAGCAGGAGGCTGAGGCAGGGCGGTCTTGGATGCCAGCGTGGACTGCATAGTTAGTTTCAGCCTGGCCTGGATTTGATAGTAAGTTCTTGGATCAGATCAGGGTTTTTTATTTCTACAAGAGAATGGGAGTTTTTAACAGACCTATTTTGAGTCTGTGGACAATCCTCAGAAAATGTACACATACTGCTTGTCAAGTTTTACAGAACCTCAGTACAGGTTAGTTTTCACAGTTTACCCTTTCTCTCTCTCTCTTTTTTAAATGAGCCAGGTTGGATTAATTTATTCTGGCCCCTGTCTTTATGGGTATTTTGTTTGTTTGTTTTTTCTGTTTTTTTTCTTTTTAGATACAGGGTTTCTCTGTGGCTTTGGAAGCTGTCCTGGAACTAGCTCTTGTAGACCAGGTTGGCCTCAAACTCACAGAGATCTGCCTGCCTCTGCCTCCCGAATGCTGGGATTTTTGTTTTTTTAGGCATGATGTGTAGCCTTGGCTGGTAGGATCCCCCTCCTTGGTCTTCTGAGTTCTGGGAACATGAGCTCTCACTACCACACCAGGCAGTAGAATTCTCAAAGCTCATCCTTCTCTGCTCTTCCTCATGACCCTCCTCCTTGCCATCTCCCATCAGACTGTAGCTTGATTTCGTAAATAGGTAATTTTCTAAGGACATTTACATACATCAGTGCCATCTTCATTATGCTAGGGTAGATTCCTACCTACCGAAAGCATATCAGAACTTGTCATCATGTGGTACCTTCTCTTCTTTGTATTCCAAAGATACCAAGGCACTGAGTTTCCCTGGCTTTTCATGAGTGTCCTGTCTGTACCTCACCTGCAGTTTCGGCTGCTAGGTATGTAGTTCCTCCCTTTATTTGCCCATGAACTATTTATTCTCTTACTCATCATCCAGAAAGGCCCCAAAGCTCTCAAAATAGGTGTCAAAAATTGAAGATTTTGTTCATTTTAGCAATGAATTATCACTTTTCTTCTACATGGCTGATATATAACTACTCATATTTTGCAATATTGTAATCCTTTTTATATCTCTGATTCCATAGAGATGGAAAGTGCTTTTATAGCAGTTATTTGTTTATAATTTTGGTGTCTTCAAAACCCATCACTTCACCTAAGCTGTTGATGTGGGTTGTTAGTTTTAGAGGTACAAGAAGCTTTTTTCCTAAACATCTTAAAGCCTTTCTGTACCTTAATTTTGTAAGCTATAGAGAAAGGTAAACAAACCTAATAGGAATGATCTATATGGCAAATTGATGAAGGATAAACTCAAGTTAACTAAAGTTCATTGTAGTGTTGTTATGCAAGTCTAGTAGAGGACAGGGAACTGGGATCTCTTGGAGAGGGGACTGACATCTATATAACTTGGGCTTGATGGTAGCATTTGTCACTAGCTTTGTTTCAAATAGTGCTGTGCAATTTTTGCTGAATGAAGATCATCTGGAAGGTTTTACACATTCTCTGTCTTGAAGATTGGCGAATCTGTGAGCCTTTGGCTTCTCACTTTTCAAGCCTCTGTCCAGTTTTTTTTTTTTTTTTCCCAGAGCCCTTTCCCGACTGACTCCCTGACCTGAAGTTCCAGTCAACTCACTCCTGTGCCACCAGGCTGTTTGTTTCTTTGGTTGTTTGGCTTGTCTTGTTAGTTTTGTGTCACCTTGTTGATTTTTTTTTATAGCTCTTAGTACAACCTGTGACTTTATTATTTGTGTTTTGCTTCCTTATTGTCTGTCCCCTCCTCTCATTATCCATCAGCAAGCATCCCTGCTCCTAATGTAGTAGCCAGAATATAGGGTACTTAGTAAATACTGTTTTTAAATGAATGAATGTTATTCCTGTTTTGCAGACGAATGGACCCTGGACTTAGACTTAAGATAAACAGTGATTGAGTTGTTTGCTGCATCCCTGTTGTGTCCCAGGCCTGCACTGTGCACTGCTCACAGAGAAACAGCAAACAGCTGCTGATTGTGCTTTGCACAGTGTCTCCACAAAGTGATCACGAAGTACTCATACAGTAAAACTTGAAAACATGGACTTACCAGAGGGAATGCATGAGATTTTATTTGTGTGTGTGTGTGTGTGTGTGTGTTGATGCACATGTATGCACATGCATGTGGAGGTCAGACAATAACTTTGAGTGACATCCTCAGAATGCTGTCTGCCTACTCTGAGACACAGTGTCTCATTGGTCTGGAACTCATCACTTAGGCTCGACTGGCTGGCCATTGACTCTTAGGGATCCTCTTGTCTCTGCCTCACACTGGATTGCAAGCACATACCACCACACCTGGGTTCTGGGGGTTGGACTCAGGGCTTTGTGCTTTTTGTTGTTGTTTGATTGGTTGTGTGTTGTTGTTGTTGATGATTGGTTGTGTTTTGTTTTTGTTTGTTTGTTTTGTTTGTTTTTTGAGATATGGTTTCTCTGTGACAGCCCTGACTGTCCTGAAATTCCCTCTGTAGAGCTGGCTGGCCTTAAACTAACAGAGATCCACCTGCCTTTGCCTCCTGAGTGCTGGGATTAAAGATGTGCACCCGACACCGAAGGATTTCATGCTTATAAAGCAAGCACGTTAACAGACTGAGCCATCCCCTAAGCCATCTGCCCTTAAATCAATAATCTAAAACAGAAAGGGGGTTGTTGAGATGGCTTGTGGAGTAAAACCACTTGCTGCACAGGCTTACATTAGATTTGCTTATTCCAAACCTCATACACTAATAATAATAATAATAATAATAATAATAATCAGAAAAGGAGGCTTGTAAGGTACAAAAGCAGATGGTCTAGATTAGTAGAAGTTACCGGTAGCTAGAAAGAGCACACTTTATTTTAGGCCATGTCTTCAGATCCATATAATTTCAAAACTCATTGTTCTGAACCTTAAACAAAACTAAAGAAACTGAAGTATAAATTATGTATATCTTAGTAAAAAATAAATTAGTATATTGAGCCAGGCATGTTCTTAGGATACAGTGGTGACCCAGACAAATACGGCTCATGCTTTTGTACACCTTTATTGTGGGTGGGACACATGGGAGGTGAAAGATGCCATCAAAACTCATGCCCTCTTCCAGAGGACCCAGGTTTGATTCCCAGCACCCACAGTGGGGCTCACATCCATCTGTAGGTGATCTGGAATCCTCTTCTGGCTTCCATAGGCACTAGACATGCAGATGGTTACACAAACATACATGTAAACAAAGCACCCATACACACAAATGTTTTTGAGTTCTTAAATACTTTTCCAAATGTCATGATGGAGTTGGAAAAATGATAAAATAATTTTATATATTAAAATGTAAGATATGGACTATATAGATAATAAGTATAGAAATATACCCAAAGTGTTACAAATTCTTGCTAGATTTTTAATAACTTTTTGTTCCTTTCTAAATTAAATTTTCAGCTGGGCAGTGGTGGTGCACACCTTTAATCCCAGCACTCTGGAGGCAGAGGCAGGCAAATCAATGAGTTTGAGGTCAGCCTGGTCTACAGAGCTAGCTCTAGGACAGCTAGGCCTGTTACACAGAGAAATCCTGTCTTGGGGAAAAAAAATCATACTATCCATGTTTTATAATTCTAAAACAATACAATTTAAAATATGCTGGAGAGATAGCTCAGCAGTTAAGATCACTGGCTGTTCTTCCAGAGGACCTTGGTTCAATCCCAGCACACACATGGCAGCTCACAACTGTCTGTAATTCAGGGGATCCAGAATCCTCCTTATACAGACATACATGCAGGCAAAACACCAATGCACATAAAATAAAAATGCATTATTATGAGGAGTATATTTCTTCAAATTATTTTGTGTACTATTTGTAATTAGTGACTCTCCCAGTAACTAGTATACATAAAATTGTTCAGAGCAAGAAGCTTATCTTAAAAGGAGTTTTATTTGTTTCTGTACCTTATATTCTTTAAGAAAAATCATCTTAGGCATGGTGGGCACACCTTTAATCCTAGCACTTGGGAGGCAGAGGCAGGCGGATCTTTGTGAGTTTGAGGCCAGCTAGTGTACAACAGCTAGTTCCAGGACAGGTTCCAAAACTACACAGAGAAACCTTGTTTCAAAAAGCCACCCCCCCCAAAAAAAAAAAAAAAAAAAAAAAGTTGAGGCATTTGAGGCTATGTTCTGCTTGAAATTACAAATCAGTAGTAAAATTTTTCCATTGTATGGGTATAGATATAGTATTAAGGAAAACAGTGAACATATTTTCTACACTTAGTAAGACAATTTTCATAATTATGTTGGTTATAAGTCCAGATAAAAGTAAATATAAGTACAAATATACTGAGGTAGGATATTTAAAATAGTACCTGTTCCAAAAATTTCAGTTTCACAAATCGGGTTAGCCTACAAATAAAAAGATAATCTTAGTAGGGCTGGGTCTGTTGTGTTTATGTAGTTTACAGGAACGGTACACAGGTTAAGGAAGCAGCGCACACTCGTGAACTTGTGTCCCTTATGAGAGCTTGCTGATGCTGACGACTGTGCTTGTGTTTAGTTTCAGAATGGCTCCGCCTACTGCCCTTCCTTGGTGTGCTTGCCCTCCTTGGCTACCTTGCAGTTCGCCCCTTCTTCCCGAAGAAGAAACAACAGAAGGATAGCTTGATTAACCTTAAAATACAAAAAGAAAATCCCAAAGTGGTGAACGAAATAAACATTGAAGATCTGTGTCTCACTAAAGCAGCTTACTGTAGGTGTTGGCGCTCCAAGACGGTAAGATACCCATTTAAACATGCGATAAAATTGTTTGGCGTTAGTTAGGATTGTTTCAGTCCCCAGTTTAGGGATTTTTCCATACTGTTCAGGATTCAAAACTGATAATCCCAAATTGACGTTTGCTTTTTTGCTTGATCGTGCCTGACTTAGAGGACGGCAGAGAGCAGTGAACTCTGAGGCTGTCAACTGCTCAGCATTTGTCCATTTGTTCTGTCTGTTTGTTCTTTACTTGTTTTATGCAAGAGAGTATTTAAGATTTAATAGAAAGGAGCTTAAACTTTGATGTCAAAACAAGTAATTACTAAAATTAGATGCCAGTCTCTCAATTGAGCAGGTTAAGCAAATTGCCAGCTTCGTTTGCTTTGGGCCAGTTTCTCTGTGTCTCTGCCTTTGAAGAGGGTCTTACTGTGGAGCACTAAATGGGCTAGAATTGGTAGTATTCTCCAGCTAGCCTGGAACTCACACAGATGCTGGGATTAAAGGCAAATATGCCTAACTTGAGTTACTTAGTTTTTAGTCTCTTGTTTGTAGGGGTTTTTTGTTGTTTTTGCTGTTTGTTTTTTCCATCTTCTCTATAGGTATTGTAGATATTTTGAAGATTTAATGAGATGGCACATGTAACATATCTTAAATAGTGCAAGCTAGTAAATAACATAGGTTTTAATGAGGAAAATGAATTCTAGTTGATAAAAATCTGTTTTCTTGTATTTGGTGAAGGTTATTTGAAATTTTAAGTACAATGTTTTTGTTTCATTATTTTTAACAGCAAAGTTTTGGAGACAGTATAATAGGCAACAAAGTACAGGAAGTTAAAACTAATGGCATATTGGGAAGTCAATGCAAATCTTTTTTTTTTAAGATTTATTTAAGTTGTGTGTTGGTGGCGCATATACTTGGAAGGCAGAGGCAGGTGAATTTCTGTGAGTTTGAGGCCAACCTGTTCTACAGAGCGAATTTTAGGACAGGCTTCAAAGCTATACACAGAGAAACCCTGTCTCAAAAAAACAAAACAAAACAAAACAAAACAAAAAAATATTTCATGGGAAGATGGTTCTGTGGATTAAATTGTTGCTGCACAGGCATAAGGACCTGAGTTCTGGTCCTCAAAACTCCTGTATGGTGGTGAGCTTTGTTACCGTAGCAGTGGAGGGTTGGGGGCCAGAGATGAGGCTCCCTGGCCTGCCAGGAGTGAAGTTACTAGTTTAGTGAGAGGCCTGTCTCAAAACTTAAGGTGGATAAGCAACTGAAGAAGACATCACTATGTCAGTCTCTGGCGTCCACATGTGTCCTCACTGGCAAGCACACACGCCCTGTGCACAGGCACCCAAACATGTAGTGACAGGAGGTCCTGCTTTAATAGAAGAAAATCATATTACAATAGGATACTTTGCTTTTAAAATATGAATGTCACAATAAATTCAGAGGGAAACCTATAATAAAATGGTGATTATACCTATTTATGTTTGGATGGATTGAGCATTTAATAACACCTTTTCACAAACTTTATAGTATGAGTTTTATAAGAAAACATTGGAAAATTTACTTTGAATGTACATTTCATTGTTTTAAATTTAAATAAGAAATTAGCTCAAATGTAAAGCTTCATAGAGAATTAGAGCTTATTTTGATCCCTTTTTAAACTTTTATACTCAGCCAAAGAGTCTTTTGTTGTTTGTTCTTTAAGACAAGATTTTAACCTGGCAGTTCTGGAGCTCACTCCGTAGATCAGGCTGGTCTTGAACTCAGAGATCCTGGTGCCTCTGCCTCCCTGGGAAAGAGTCTTCTTTTTACCTAACATTACCTGGCTGGATGGGGCATGGAGTGGTGGGATGGTGGGTGTGTGCTCTGTCAGAAAGTGCACTGACAGGCTCTCACTAGGGAGCTCTGTTTTCAGTCAGTGGCTTACTGACTTCCTGAGCATTTCACAGGTGTCTCTACTTCATGAATCCCGTGGTAAAATAACATTTGCAATTCTTTTTCCCTTTTAGTTTCCTGCCTGTGATGGGTCCCATAATAAGCATAATGAATTGACAGGCGATAATGTGGGTCCACTCATACTGAAGAAGAAAGAAGTATAACAGTAGCCATTTAAGATTGAAACTCTTGTAATGTTCCCTTGTTTGTTGTGCATAGAAAAGTCTTTGGAGGTTTTAACTATCAATACTTGTTGAATAATTATTTCTGCCAATTATTTTCTTGCTACACTACTGCTTATATTTGATACTTTATATTTTCAGTCCTTTATGTAGAAAACAAAAGATCAGGTCTTACTCTGAAATCAAGAGTTAATATATCTTTCAACAATGAAGTCAGTACTTCAGATTTTCATTAATTGGGATTTTAAAGTTTGGCCATAGGCCAAAAGTTATTTCTCTGCATATCAGTATTTCAACAGAATGTATATATTTTTAAAAATTCTCCCCTGTCCTGTAAAATGTATTTTTATACTGTTTTGTTTTGCTCATTTGAAGTAGTTTGCCATCCTCTGGCCTTTGTGGAACTCTTCTGTTTTTAGATGAATTATGAAAAATATTGCCATCAAGAATTTCTTTGAGGCAATAAAACCCCTTGTTTTATAGAGAATTTTGTCTCATTACTATGATTTCCCAATTCCTCAAGTAAATCAGTTATAAAAATGTTCCAGTGAGAAACAATTATTTATATCGTAAAAAAATTGATACACCTTACAAACGGCTTGCTCTGTGTGTGTGTGTGTGTGTGTGTGTGTGTGTGTGTGATGTGTTGTTTAACTTGGTGACAGCTGGGTAGCAATAGCACTTACAGCTACAGTTTGAAGGTCAATTAGATATTAAGTGTATCTGAATTTGCATTAGAACGGCACATAGTTCATTGTTCAATTATGTTTTCTTTTTTTGTAATCAGTTCTAGAGAAACAGGGCAACATGATGTCAAGTTACTTGTAATCCACAGGATTGAATTTGCACATTCTAAGAGAAAAAGTTTTGATCTTTTTTAGAAGAGACAACTCCTTATTACATTAGCTTCACAAAATGTAGATAAACTATTTGTGTTTATAATGGCATAAAAAGGTCTGCTAAGGATGATGACTTGGAAAGCAAGGCTTAGTGCTTTTACTTTCCATTTCTCTCCTGTTTCCCCCTATCCCAAAAAACATTTACATACTTTTAAATGACTTTTTAAATCAAGACTTTGAATAAAATTGTCAAAGCACAATTAAGGTTTTTAGGCCCATATGGTGAGGCCTTTGATTGATTGTGTAACGGCAGATAGGATGGCGTCAGCATTGCAGGAAGCCCAGTGCACAAATGGACTGGACACCAGCTGGGCAAGGAAGGAAGCCATCAAGGGTTGCTGGCAAACATTGCAAACAGCAGCACCAGCAGCAAAACCACCTATTCATTTTCTGGCTCATAAGTGAAATGATACACCACTAAGGGTAAAATAAGGGTATATAACAAAAGGTGAAATTTAGTTTAGTACTTGAGTTCTGCCATAAAACTGTGTTATCTCCAGGAGCAGGGGAACAGTTAAATTTGGGGACACTCATTTGTCAAGTCTGCTGGGTTGGATGGGTTATCTCTAGGGTTTCTTATTTATTTAATGAGAAGTCGTGAGCCTGCTGCCACATATGTTATGTGTTCTGTTCTCTTTCGTTAGCTGTTATATCTAGCAGTATGAGAAAGACTGTTGTTGGCAAGCCAAGCCTCCATGCTAAAAGGAAAGTGATTACAAGTCAACTTATCACATAATTAAATTACAGACTTATCTTACAGTTTTAATATTTGTGTGTTGTGAAGTGTGAATAATATTAAAACATGTAGACATGTTTTAGTTTAGACTTACTTTATCTTTATTATTTTATGTGTGTGCGTGCTTGTCTGCATGTATGTGTGTCTGTGCACCACGCACATGCCTGGTGCCCAAGCAAGGCAGAAGAGAATGTTGGGGCTCCTGGAACTGGAATTAACACATGTTTATGAGCCACCCTGGGAGTGCTGGGAACTGAACCCTGGTCCTCTGCAAGAGCATCCAGTGCTATTAACACCTGAGCCATCTTTCTAGCCCTGCAAAATTTTTAATAAAATGAATAAACACATTTGATGAGAGGCAGTGATTGTTTTGGAGCAGAACTGAAGACCTGGTGTGTGAGTGTAGTGGATCCTATGAAAGTCAAGAGTGATCCAGATTTGGTTTTTGCTCATGCAGTAACTTTCCTGGTACTAGGGTGGAGCGCAGGGCTTCACCCTCGCTGGCAAGAGCTCTTTACACTGAGCTCCCTCTTGTGTTATGTCTTTTTAATAGTATAAAGCACTGAAATACAAGGAAGTTTTCAATGTAGGCTTACTGGAAATTTTGCATTATTTGTAATTTTAGTCCACTATCAGGAAACTCTCTAGTTTTATTTTCCATTACAATCCTCATGTAATAGCTACCCATAAACTATTAAAGATGCAATCCACTCAGTTCATAACGTTTCATTTGTGTGTCTATGTGTGTGTACACCTACCTGTGTTTGCAGATGTGTGTACCTGTGAGATTGGAGGCTCGTGGGCTGAGAGCTGTGAGCCGCTCCTGGCGCCACTGTCTCCTCCCCTACCCCCCCCCCCCCAGCACTCAGGTCACAGTCAACACTGCTGTGACACTAGAGGTGAACTCAGGTTCTCACGCTTGTAGGTCAGGCTTCTTACTAACTGAGCCATCTCGGAGCCCATCATCATTTTCTACGGAGGCCTAGGGGATGGATATTCAATCTTTGTGGTGATAAAGCTAATAGTTACTGAGTATCTATCTATACCAGACATTATATTAAGCATGCACCTCTCGCTGCTGAGAAACTCAGCATTAGACTGAAGCACGTACTGGGGTCATAAATGTATCTCGTGTAATGGCAGTGAGTCCCACTGTGTGACTTAATCTTTCTCAGGACCCTGAAGGTAGAGTTGGAAAGTACCCGTGCAGGGGGAGCTTTACAGGGTCTGTGCCCAAACTCAACCCCGTTTCCTACCCATCGCCAGGGGGTAATAGAGCATCGGTCTTCTGTGGCTGTGTGGATTTGTTTTTGTTTTCTGAGACCATTTACTCCGTGCCCCGAAGTGCCTTCACTGTAGATTAACCAATTATTTTCCCACAGCTGGTCACAGTTGGAGTAGAATTCTCATCAAAAATTTGGATACCTTGTCTGTGGTCATTCTGCCTCCCTGTCTGCAAAACCATTTACTGCAATTCACAACAACATTCTTAAAAAAAAAAAAAAAAAAAAAAAAAAAAATATCTAGTTGCTATACTTTCTGGCTCACAGAAAGCAAATTTATTGGAAATTAGTAATCTAAAATGAAATGATCAGTTTTTTAATTTTGTCAAATACAAGTAGTGAAAAAAAGTGGAAAAAATTTCCAGGAGATAATTTTCATGCCCTGAGAGTTAACTGATTTTCCCCTCCCACATTCTCTACTCTAGAACATACTAAGTTGTTCCCCTGCCTAGAAACCCACATCTGGTAGCAGGCTGGTGTTTTAGTAAGCTTTCACGTGACCATTACAGTTGCCATCTGTAAATTCACTGAATTCTCTCTCATGTGTGCCTTACATAGGCTCTGAATAGCCAAACATGTGAGCTGATAAACCACTTAGTTATTAAAGTATGTCCTGAGCGTTCTAGAACCTTAGAGAGACAGCTGTGCTGTTATCACGACTGCTGTGAGAGCGAGCGACCCATCCTGCTGACTTACAGACTACTCACTCCTGACTCAGCAGATAAGACCGCCCTTACAGAATACCAGGTAGCCCAGAGTGTTAGCAGGCTTTAGGTAAATGACTCATTTGTGTGGATAGCTGAGCACGTTAAGACTCAGCTCTGAGTTTGCTACCTCATGATGATTCACTGAAGTGCTTTTGTATTTTGTAACCTAATTTGTTAATAAGTTTATAGGAAGCCAATTAAACTAGCTGCTGATCTGTGTAATTCTTCTCACAGTCTTTGATTAGAAGTGTATTTAGACTGTCTTCCTAAACAAACAATTTTAAGGTTCCACTCTAAAAAAAAAAAAAAAAAAAAAAAAAAAAAACAAACAAAAATAGGCAACTGCTTTATTTGATACCTACCCAACATGTTGAACTAATTGCATTTCACTTGATTAGATTCATCAGGGGCTGCATCACCAACAGGAAAAAGCCCAAGGGTGTTTCAAAGTCAGTCAGTGCCTGAGCCTTCCATCTTCAATCTCCTCATTTCCCCTTCTCATCAGATCCCCATGTTTGGTTATCTGTTTTCTATTCCTAAACAAATCACCAGTGTCAAGGACACTTTATCCAGAAACAGGTAAACAGTAAATATGACTATGACTGCTAGTAGGAAAGGCAACAAAACAAAAAACCCCAAAACAAAAACCCAACAACAAAAAACAAACAAATGAAAATTGAAAAGTTGAAAAGATTTAACCGAGAACTTGTATCTCAGCTCCTGAGGACATCTCTGTGATCAAATTATATAAGTAGTGTTTCATGATAAATTTGCATCAAGTAGTGTGTGATAGTTGAGATTCAGGATGTTACATTCACAGATACTAGTACCCACACTGAGTTAAAAGTTCAGCACTTAACATGCTATATATAGCAAGTCCAAAGTGTGTCCAGGGTGTCCTTGATATGTGGGGGCTTTATTTCAGGAAGCCTGTTCAATTGAAACATTTTCAAATGTAATTACCAATTTACCACATAATTTAATTCCCTAAAACATGGCAAGAGCTAAATCTGGCAGGTGGGATTCTCATCACATACATGGTGCTAGAGAACTTGCCCACACCAAACACAACTGGAGGTCCTGCTTCAGAGCCGCATTCTTTTGAGTGTCTCCGTGCCTTTAGTGCATGCAGAATGGGTTAGGGAGAACACCTATAGCTGCTTTGTTAGTTTAACTGCTCCGTCTGACCCCGTGCTTTATAAAGTTCGTCATAATGGGCTTTGATTGGAAGCTTGTTTTGTCGTATTCACCAGGTCAACTAGTTTATATTTTGCAGAAGGCTAGTTTAGTGAGGTCATGCAGCAGTCATTAAATGCACTGTATACACTGGGACGTGCATATTATTAGCAAGTACACATTCCTGTACTGTTTGGTAAGGACACTGGAAATGTGCAGAAAGGCAATAAGAGGGTTTTCAGCTAAGGATGGCATCACTAACTTTGCAGTGGTTTAAATGCTCAGATGCATTCCTTACTAAAACAACAACAAAACAAAACAAACAAACAAAAACCCCCAGACAGGCTTTAAACAATTGTGGTGAAAGAATGTTTGTGACTGTTTCCTTGAACATTGGTCAAATGGGTCAGCCATGATGGCCATTCTTCAGCACTATAATGTTGTAATTTCCAAATAGAAAAGGGAGGAAGTTGGTAAATTGTTTAAGTGCAGAGATCAACTCTACAGTAGTAGAAACTATCAGAGAACGCTTCAGTAGACCTCCCATCCTGCAGGAGCACACTAGACGAGGAACATACCAGTCACATTCATTGACCAGATCTAAGAACAATGCTTACAAGGACAGAACTCTCCTAGGAAATCAGACAGAGTTAGATACTTTTGAAGTAGGTAGCAAAGCACCGGGAAATCTAAAAGAAAACAGAAAACCTAGAAAACATCTGATTTATACTGACCCCAGTAAGGAAAGTAATGTTTTATTTGACCAGTTACCAAGCAGACAATGAAATGTGTGTTTTCAAATCCACAGTTCAGGGTTCTGGGGCTGTAGCTCAAAGCCCAGCTTCACAAAGCACAAGCTCTGTCCCAAGCACCGCTAGCCCAGCTGTTCATCATAGTGGCTGAATTAACTTTCCCAGCAAGAGCATACGAGTGTGCCCCTTTCTTTACATCCTTGTTAGCATTTGCTGATCTGTCTTTATACAACATACATGCACACACACACACACACACACACACACACACACATTCTGACTGGAAAGAGGCGATATATCTCACTGTGGTTTGATTTGATGGAGGCTGAGAAGTGGGAGAAAGGGACAAAACACTATTAGAAGGACTAAGTTCTACTGTTGTGTAGCCCAGTTCGGCAACTATAGTTCACAATAGTCTATTATCTCCTTTATGGATAGCTAGGGACGAAAAGAGTTCAGAGGCTTCAAACAAAGTGAAGACAAGAAGAGAGTCAATGACCTTGACTTCATCAGTACATACTGTATTTAGTGGAACTTCACATCACATTCTGTACACCCTGGGATATAAAGACCCGAAGCCTTTGCTGCCTTTGGTGTTCTCTGACTCAAACCTGCCTGCCATGATGCAAGGCTTTCTCCGACCCCACCCTGGGGATTTACACTTCCTGCTTTAGGGGGGGGGTGAACCTCAAGCCCCTGGTTGGCTTCTTGCTTTCACCAGGATGGGAACCTGTTGGAGATCACCCATAGAAATTGTGTGTGTGCTACTGCCTCCTTGTGGTCGTACCTTCTTCACATGCCTGGCAGTAAAAATTCACTGCGGGCTCAGAAGCATGAGCAGCATACACTTCCTCTGGCCACATCTTATCAAGCTATTGCTGCCAGCAATAAAGAGCAACGTGGGCTTCAGTGTGGCAGATCCCGTAAGGACAGCAAGTGGAATATATTGGGCGCTTCCCCTGTAGGAAGGAGAGCAATTCATCTGGACTGGAACTGATGCCTAGTCTAAGTATTGATCTGTCTTTGCTATTCTCATGGCGTAAACCAGGGCTAGTGTGCAAGGACTAACCAAATGCTTGGTCCACCAGTGTGCAACCCTGTACACCATTGCCTTGTACCAAGGAGTGCCCTGCCCAGCACTGTAGTTGCAGTGGTGGTCACGTGACCATGAGATTCAACAGCACGGCACAAAGCCACAACAGCCAGAAGCTGTCAAACCGATGAGCTGATGGGACCACATCTGGCAGCAGTTTGAAGCTGCAAACACGGAGCAACAGCTCTCACCTTGGGTCACTACATGGTCTCTGTCTCCAGTAAAAAGAGGACGTGGGTTTGTAGTGCTAGGACCGTTTACTACTACTCCCAGCGCTTCATTAGGGAATGTTTGCTAGTCTTTACAGTAAAACGCTCAGGCACAATGGGAACACAGGAGAGCGTATATCACCTAGTGTCTCTATATTTTGTGTCACACACAATCCACCTCCTCCCCTTACCTCCCCTCTTTTTCTGAGATATATCAGATGGCTCTGCCTCTGAAGTGCTGGCACTAAAGATGTATACCACCACCACACTGAGCCTAAGATCTATTTACATATATATATTTATAAATATGTATGGCGCCCCAAATGCTAAAGTGCACAGGCAAATTTAGAGGTGAGATCTGTGGTGTCATTGTTACAGTACACTGGTAGACACTTCCTAATGGGGGAGGCTCAATTGAAACGCACTGTGCAGTGTGCCCCACCACCAACAGCAAAGAAGAAAGACAGCCAAGGTTGGCAGCTCATGAGTGCCTG